TCGAAGTATATCTTGATGATATTTTATATAGTAGCATAAAGTTCAGCTTTTTGATAACGTGATAAAAATCATTATTCTTCCTCTCAACAGTGTTCAACCTTAAATTATTGTTTCTTCTTGCAGATTTTCCAATCTCCTTCTCTTCTTACTCCGCTTCCTATTGTGAAATCCATTCATCTCACTTTCTCTTTCTCACTTATTAAGTCCTTTAAAAAAAAACTTAAAGTTTTTTATTTTGTATTTCCTGTATTTTCAATATTCTCTTAACTTTCATCACTTGATAATTTGGACAATTTTTCTCACTTTTGCTTTATTATATTTCTCGTACAATTGTCTGCCTATTTATTATTAAGATCAGTTTTCCCTCGAAATAATAAATTCTCTCTCTCTCTCTCTCTCTCTCTCTCTCTCTCTCTCTCTCTCTCTCTCTCTCTCTCTCTCTCTCTCTCTCTCTTCAGTTTTTCTCCTTTTATCCCTACTCCGAAATCCTTTCTCACCTTGAATTCTCTTTTTCTTTTCTTCGAGCAGTTCGAACCAATAGTTATTTCGCGCGTTTACGATACCCGGATTTTATTTCGGCGGGCATTTAGCCGCAGGGCTCCGTTTTACGGGGGAAGGGGAGGGAAAGGGGTGGGAGCTGAGAGAAAGAGGGACCTTAACACCCAGAAACAATCTCGATGGTGGGGACTGTGAGAGACTCGACAGTATCGATGTTTACGAGCTCAAATAAACGGCGCCGCTGCCGCCGTCGGTGTGCGGTTATTTCGTATTACTTTGGGACTTTAATGGAGAAGGGAGCGTTTTGAAGTGCCATATAAAAATCTCTTGACGCTCTCCTTCTAAAAGGTGGTCGGAGGACCACGCATGGCTCGGAGAGCGCGACGCACTATTTTCACGTTCACAAAAGAAACCTCACCGCGGGATTTCGGCGTCACGTCCTACCGGCCACTTGTTTCTTTGCGTCCTACGTCTTCCTTGCCTCTCATATTTCGCCATTTTTGTCGAATTTATCATTTCAAGCTGCATTTAAGACTGCAAACTTTCAGCTTTCTTTGCCCTTCCCTTTGTATAACTTAAGTATAAATATAACAAAGAAGATTCTATATTAACTTACGCTGGAGCTCAAAGGTTAAATTACGAGCTCATGTCCCTCTTCCATATTTTTCTTTCTTTTCTTACATTCAGGCCTGGTTTCACCAACGTCGCTTAACTTTAAGCTTAGCTTAGTTCATTCCTTGTCTCCTTCTAACTGTTACTTTAGAAAGAGACAAACGTGAATTGAACTAAGATAATAGTTAAGCGATGTTTGGTGAAACCGAGCTTCAGCCATTTCCGCTGAATTTTCGAAGCGATTGCACCAAGTATCCGTCCGGCGAATAAAATTAATATCCTAACCACGATCATTACGATAACTGCTTGCAGTTAGTTCTAGCAGCGAGGTCAGGTTTCCTACGAACCTCGCAGATGATGGAGAAGAAGGCGATATTCGCGCCACGCCCGTAATCAATATCACCGCCATTGTCTTCAGCTGCGGTGCAGGCGTCGTAAATTTGGCAGAATGTTAATTCCACGCGCGAGAGAGCCGAGCGGCTCTCTCGCCGGGCAATTTTCGCGGCCCCGCCGTCGGGGATAATCACCACATTTCTGCCGAGGTGTATCCCAGCCCTAAGGATCTAATGATGAATTTCGTGCTGCGCGGGTGAGCAAGCCTCGGAGCTTGGAAAACAAGAACGAAGAACGTGTCGGCCCGCCGACCTTAGCCGACACTTCTCGGCGAACTTCCACTTTCCTCCTGTCTAAACGTCCGTGCCGGCCATCACGCTTGTGCTGTTCCTTTTTATCGGACCGCCTTCCACCAAGCACGCCAGAGCGCCCATAAGTTCTTCTCGATGCGTCGGTTCGAATCGCCATACGTTTCGGTCTAGGCCATAACTCGTTTACCGGATAGCATCTGTCGATTGTATTAACCGTAAAAATGTCGGTCACGCAATGCACCCTCCATTTTCAGCAGCGGCGACCGCGTACGAACAATCGAATAGGACGCAAACTTAAACGCATTTTAGTTACGCCATTGTTTCAGAAGTCTTCATTTTATTATAAATATGTATAATCGAAACGACACTTTGTAAACCTAGAAAAAGAACGGAAAACTTTGTTCTACAATATCGAGTGTGAACCCATCTAACTTTGCTAATTAACATATTAGTACGGAGATTATTTTAAAACAACAGGAAAATCCATCAAAGCAAATCTCCTTCCATTTATCAGTCCACAAATTTTCCATTTAATACAGAAATACTTTTCTCCTTATTCAAAGAATTATTAGATACTATAGTAAATACTCGAAAAGCTGATCGAGCTCATCATCGATTCTACTTAAATTTAGCATTCATTGTCCTCGTATGAATTGCAGAAAGAAGTTTCGCTTGTCAACGAAAATCTCTCACGACGATAAATCTTGCAATATCACAGTGGTATTCTTTCTTCGATGAAGAATCGCCGGACAAATTTCGACAAATATTCGCCGTATCTCTTCATTATGACGACCGAGTCATTCGTCTTCGATGCAACTCGAGTCCGTGGGACACAAGGTAAAGGGGTAGAAAACCTACGTGGTCCCATCGCCGATGCAGATCCACATACGGTCTGCATTCTCGGGGCTCCTGGCGCCATGCCACAGTACTCGCATTTGGTATCCCGCGACTCTCGGTAGCATCTGGCCGATACAAATACACAGGTACCCGGGTTCGCGTTCGTTCCGCCAGTTCTTTCCCTCCCTGGTCCAGCCGATCTCCGGCATTGTCGACCGACGGGTCTTCTTCTGCGGCACTGCCCTCAGTGTACCTCGCGCAAGAAGGATGGTCCTTACAGCGCAATTATTTTCGCATGATTCAGATCGCCGGTCAGATTAAGACCGCCCTTTCGGCATCGCGTGCCGATCGTTTGCGAACTGTCCGCGAGGATGCGAGTGCGATTTTAAGTCGCGAGCAAAACCAAATTCCGGGGGAGCGAACGTGCTACTATGTCCTCCGCGGCAGTGGAGTCATTCTTTTGCTTCACGGGGAATTTGCGCTATCTAATAAAGCCTCTCGATTCTTTTGCGATTTATAATTTTGTTCAATTATTGGGAGTTGAAGAAGGAATTAAGTTTATCTAATGAGACAATATTTCCTCAAACTATTTTCATTTTTTATTAGGTGTATTATTTCGAATAATATTTGAAAATAAAATGAATAAAAGGGAGGACTTAAAAAAATACGCAAGCTCTTCAATGAGTCAATATAAAAAGTGATAACGAAATATATCACTTGAAACATTTTATTTTCATAATCAGAATTCTCCTTATTGTTAGTAAAGAAGATATTTCGAGAAGACATTAAACGAGAATAAAAAACTTTGTAATAAATATATTCTGCATTAATATAAATTTTTCCTCAAAAAAATCTATTTTAATTAAACTATAGATTTAGAAATATTGTAAGAATTGTATTTTATCAAATTTTAACTTTTGATTTATACGAAATTTTCATAACACTCCTGAATTGACTATTTTTACTAGCGCATAACAATTACACGATAAAAGAAATGTTCTGAAAGGATAAATTTTCCTTTCTCAGCCCTGCTAAATAAAAATTTAGCGTTCTTTTAACAGAAAATTTATTTTTTTGTTAAGTAGCTCGTGCAAGGTTTATGGTAATGTCTTTCGATGCTAATAGTAATTATTGCGCGTGTATATACAGTTAAATGATTATTTTTGCCAAGGAATATGAGTAACGTCGTAGCTTATGGGAATGGCTCGCCCTGTTCTGTAAGCCGCAAACGTTTGCCATAACTTAAACACGAAGTGTACACACGGTGCCTCCGAACGTAATCGCCGGTTATTTAAACACAGTCAACTCAGGATCGTAATTGCACAACGAAATCACGGCGGCGCGTGTACTGCATTTTATAGAGGTGGTTCGCCCACCAAATGACACGCTTCGTACATAGAACGCTATCTATAGATCGCGGGAATACTCTTGACGGTGTGGGTGGTGTCTACGAACTATCGTAATCGGAAATGAATTACGCGCGGTTTCTTTTATGTACGCGGAAGATCCGCATCTAATCTTAATATTTCGCTCCAATCTGAACCGTTATTCGAATTGCTCAATAAACTCACTGCGTCAAACTGCGTATATAAGTAGAAACTATTATTATATATGCAATGTACAATTGCTGATCAACATCATACAATTGCTTGATAAAAAAAACTGATCAACAACCCAGATAACACGCATGTCTAAAAGACATCTTTAAGATGTCTTTAACACGTCTTTTAGACAACTTTTAGACATACACGTCTAAAAGATATCTTAAAGACGTTTTAAAGTAGTCTTGAAGATGTCTTTTAGACAAGCATGTTATCTGGGAAGTATCGTTAGGTCCTTCATAGCTTCGGTATTAATTTGAATATTAAACTGATTTATACAATGACAAGTTAAATAGAGGAAAGTCCTTCTATTTTATGCGCCTCCTAATATGAGATAGCGGGGTTTCTGCTCAATTAATATGCGTCATCTGTTGGTCCCACCATGAATTTACTGCCATTGGAGTGAAATCTGTTTAGTGGGAGATTCATTGTTAGATCATGTAATCATTGCGAAGAAAGATTTATGATTGAATTTGGATGTTGAAAACCTGCTGCCTCATATTAGAAGCCTATCTCATAATAGAAGACTTTCCTCTATTAATGAGTAACCAATAGTGACCATTAAAACCAGATATTGAGCTAAAGGATTATATTGTGGTAAAAGTACATGCTCATTCTTTATGTCAGCGTGTTAACTAAATATTACTATTATTAGTAATATGATTATTTCCTTAGATTTATTTATAATTTTAAGAATCCAAAAGAAAGACGGGACTCGATATAATGACAATCCCTTATTGTTAGTTTCGTTCTATATACATTTTAACGTTCACAAATGTAAATATATGTGAATTGTTTTCCTTTACAGTTTGCATTGGTACAAATGGCCGTCTCTCCGTGCCGTCCAACAAGCAACATCACTACCGGAATCTTCGAGACCGGTACACCAACTGTACTTACGTCGATGGTAACCTGGAGATCACATGGCTCCAGAACAAAACCTTCGACCTCAGCTTCCTGCAGTACATACGGGAGGTCACCGGCTACGTCCTCATCACTCACGTGGACGTGCCCAGGATCGTCCTCCCGAGCCTACAGATCATCCGCGGCAGGACCCTTTTCAAGCTCAATATCCACAACCACGAATTTGCCCTCTTCGTCACAATGTGTCAAATGCACAACCTGGAGATGCCGTCACTTAGAGGCACGTTCTTTACCCTACACTTTATTCGATACGTTAATAAAATTAAAGCGGTGAAATGATGCATCTCTAACATGTGCCTCTGAATAATTTAGTTATTTGTAAATGGGGCCGATAATTCGTATGCTTCATTTATTACATTTATAATTTATAACATTTCCTCGTGCATGTCTTAGGTCCAGTTTCACAAACGTTGGTTAACTGTTAACCAGAGTTCAGTCGACTTCCTATCTATCTCTATCTTGTTATCCAAGAAGAGACAGAGGATCAATTAACCATGGGTTAGCGGTTAAACGACGTTTGTGAAACTGGCCCTTAACAATGAAGTACAAACCAATGTAGAAAATTGCTAGACGACGCTTGGCTGGCAAATTCCAATTACAGAAATTTATTGCGAAAAAAAGCCTATGGTGGTCACCCTGGCTGAGGTAATATTTTTTCGCAATAAATTTCTGTCATTAGAATTTGCCAACCAAGCGTCGTCTAGCCATTTTCTACATTGGTTAATCATGTACTGGCGTTAAATAATTCTTTACGTTAATTAAGTGCAAAATTTAAAGCTTATAAATATACAAGTTCGATATTTCTCAATAAATTAATCTGTTACGAGTAGTAATATCGGTTGAGTGATTTATGACAAGTTGTCGTCTCGTTTGAAACGATATTTAATTCGCCGCAATTGATTTCACCGTAGATATACTCAACGGGAGCGTGGGCATGTACAACAACTACAACCTCTGCCATATCAAGACTATCAATTGGGACGAAATAATCACGGGCCAAGGAGGACGATACTTCTACTTGTACAATTTTTCGTCGCCAGAACGCTCGTGCCCGGCATGCGACGAAAGCTGCCAGCAGGGCTGCTGGGGCGAAGGCCCGGAGAACTGTCAGAAGTTCTCGAAGACGAACTGCTCGCCTCAGTGCTGGCAGGGCAGGTGCTTCGGTTCTAATCCGCGCGAATGTTGCCATCTTTTTTGCGCGGGTGGTTGCACCGGTCCCAAACAGAGCGATTGTCTTGCCTGCAAGAATTTCTTCGACGACGGCGTATGCACGCAGGAATGTCCACCAATGCAAAAGTATGTCGCGTCATATACTTATATCCTCACCCTAAGTTTGACGTAGAATAAAAATGTCGCGATGTGTAGATTAATTTTTTTTAGCACAATTAATCGAATAAAATATAAACAATACTCTTCTAAATTTTTCTAACGATAAATAGTGAAGTAATATGAAAAAAAAACGGACTAAAGTTTGCTTACAGTGTAGATCACGTAATGAAATTAATAAAGATCGTTTTATCAATGTCTTAATTTTGATTCTTTTAGATACAATCCAACAACCTACTCGTGGGAAGCCAATCCTGACGGAAAGTACGCGTACGGAGCGACCTGCGTGAGACGATGTCCAGAACATCTCTTAAAGGACAATGGTGCATGCGTGAGATCTTGTCCAACGAATAAGAAGGCGGTGAACGGCGAGTGCGTTCCTTGCGACGGTCCTTGCCCAAAAACCTGCAAGGGTGTCGAAAAGGTGCATTCCGGTAATATCGACACTTTCGAAGATTGCACCATCATCGAAGGATCTATCACGATTTTGGACCAGAGCTTCGAGGGTTTTCAACACGTTTATCCAAATTATACATTCGGCAAACGATACGAAAAGATGCATCCCGATAAATTGGAAGTTTTCAAAACGCTGAGAGAGATCACGGGCTATCTTAATATTCAAGGGGATCACATAGATTTCAAGAACCTCTCGTACTTTCGGAACCTTGAGGTGATCGGAGGCAGAACGCTCACGGAATATTTCGCGTCATTGTACATCGTCAAGACTTCCTTGGTATCCTTCGGCCTTAGTTCTTTGAAGAAGATCCATTCAGGCTCGATTGCTATTTTGGAGAACAAAAATCTATGTTACGCACAGAGCATTAATTGGATCAGGATCAGGAAATCGACGGAACATGAAAGCCTTTTATCAAATAATCGAAATGAGAGCGAATGCAGTAAGTATAATCAAGAGATTTAGATATAAATAACCATTGTCCATTTAAAAGTCAACTTTTCATGGTATTCTGAATGTAGCGATATTTGTGTTAAACGGCATATTCATTGTAATAAATTTTATTTGTAAAGTTTTTATTTTTTGAAGATTAAGTTAAAGATATAATTAATATTCTCATATTACTATTTTAACAGCAAGTACTCGTTTTTATATCAATATGTTATATGTGAAAGTTTAAGTTCTGTATTACACAAAAATTATATGGAATATAATTGTTTGAATTGCAGTTGAGGATGGCCTCGTATGTGACAAGCAATGTTCGAATGAAGGATGTTGGGGGCCGGGACCAGCACAATGCTTGTCGTGCAAGAACTTTATTTTAGGAAATGACTGTCTTCAGGATTGCACTACATCAGGGTAAGTCGACAAACGTAGAATTATACAGTGCGAAATTGAAAATTAATCCGACTTCTGTCCAACTGAAATTGCTCTCCTAGATCATGGATTGAAGGTAAATCGAAAATCTTTCGCGAGAACTTAAGCCACAATTTTCACCGTTCTATTTTACATCTTTATCCATCTCGTAAGCAAGTTATGTGTGTATGCAGCACGTGCACTCTCGTAACTGCTTGAATTCGCGCTTGTATTGAAACAGCAAGTGGCAAACAAACTAAACATCAATTACATTTAAATGATTTTTCACGTGTGCCGTTTTATGTGCTTATCTCTCTGTTAATTTCTTATGCCTTGTTCTTCTTCCAATTTTTCCTATTTTTTCTTCGTTTGCTTCTGATTTGACGTATTACTTCTTTACATGACGTTTCGATGTCGCTTAACAATTGATTACGATTGTGTTGTCAGAATTTATCAAGCGGACAAGAAAACATGTAAGATGTGTAACGAAGAATGCGACAGCTCCTGTATCGGTCCTAGTGCCGACCAATGCGTCAAGTGCAAACACGTGCAGGATGGACCGTTCTGTGTGCCCGAGTGCCCATCTTCAAAGTACAATGACAACGGCCAATGTAAACACTGCCACGAGAACTGTGTAGGCGGTTGCGAGGGACCAGAGAACAACATAGGCGCCAACGGATGTCATAGTTGCGAAAAGGCAATTATGAACGGCCAAATAACAGAGGGATGTTTGCAGAAGAAAGAGCCGTGCCCCGATGGTAAGTCATACGATGACTTTGCTTTATTACTTTTGTATCAATGTACGAACATTCATATTTTATAATAGAAAGATATATTTTTTACTAATTATAATTGGCTAATTATAATTATGCGGTGTATGAAAGAAATTTTCATTAATGTTACAAATATCTATGAATAACCGTGAATATTCACAGAGTGTAATGGAAAATGAATGGATACAAATAAATATTGTAAATTACGGTATATTTTAAATGAATAATACAAGGTAACGTTTGTGTAATTCCTCGTAAAGAATAAAAGCGTTATTTTATCATGAAATTCGCAGGACACTATTATGAGTGGTTGAGTCCGATGGAGCAAGGTCCTTTAAAGCCTCTCGCCGGAAAAGCTGTCTGTCGCAAGTGCCACCCACGTTGCAAGAAGTGCACGGGATACGGCTTCCACGAGCAAGTGTGTCAACAATGCACCAAGTATAAGAGAGGGGAGCAATGCGAGGATGAATGTCCTGCAGATTATTTCGCGGCTGCTGACACGCAGCTATGTATACCGTGCTACGGGGAGTGCCGAGGTTGCTTTGGACCGGAGCCCAGTCAGTGCTACAAATGCCGGAATTTCAAGATTTACACTGTACGTAGACGCTGATATTAAAACTCTCTCTAATATGCATCTAACAAATGAGACGACACGATATACTTGTAAAAACCGTAGAAGCATATCTTTTTTATTCCCTCGTTAAACATATCTTTGTACTTTATAATAATACACATACTTTGCGTAAAATCTTTATTGTATGGCAGAATGAATTACAATACTAATTGATTTATATAATCGGTGTATTTAGGACAGCATAGGAGATCCTGACGACAATTCAACGTCCTTCAACTGCACGGAAACCTGTCCACCCGAATATCCGCACAAGATCATTCCTCCTGACAGTGAGCCATACTGTTCCGAAGAGCCGACAGGCCTCGGTTATCACATCGCAAACGATTTTCCTCCAGCAGTTTTGGGCGGTATTCTATTCGTACTAGCGGTGTTTGTTATTAGCATCATCTTCGTGTACTTCTGGCGAGTGAGAACGAAAGCTAAGGAGGACACAGTGAAGATGACGATGGTTCTGACCGGTTTGGACGACAACGAGCCGCTCCGACCGACAGGCGTAAAACCAAATCTCGCTAAACTACGCATCATAAAGGAAGAGGAGATGAGGAAAGGCGGTATATTGGGCTACGGCGCTTTCGGCAACGTCTACAAAGGCGTTTGGGTGCCCGAGGGAGAGAATGTAAAGATCCCAGTTGCTATAAAGGTTCTGCACGATGGTACGGGTGCAAACACGTCCAAAGAATTTCTCGACGAAGCTTACATTATGGCTAGTGTCGAGCATCCGAATCTACTGCAATTACTTGCGGTGTGCATGACGTCGCAGATGATGTTGGTGACCCAGCTGATGCCTCTAGGCTGCCTGCTGGACTATGTACGCAGGTACAAGAATAAAATCGGTTCGAAGCCGCTGTTAAATTGGTGCACGCAGATCGCGAGGGGTATGGCCTACCTCGAAGAGAGAAGATTGGTTCATCGAGATCTGGCAGCGCGCAATGTCCTCGTCCAAACTCCGAATTGCGTCAAGATCACCGATTTTGGTCTTGCTAAGTTATTGGACATCAACGAGGAGCAGTATAAAGCTGCGGGCGGGAAGATGCCGATCAAGTGGTTGGCGTTAGAATGCATTCAGCATCGAGTGTTTAATCATAAATCGGACGTGTGGGCCTTCGGGGTGACCATTTGGGAGATTCTCACCTACGGCGGCAGACCGTACGAGAACGTCTCCGCTCGAAATGTGCCGGAATTGCTGGAGAAGGGCGAAAGATTGCCGCAGCCTGCGATTTGCACGATTGATGTATATATGATTATGATTAAGTGTTGGATGCTTGACGCTGAATCCAGGCCTAGCTTCAAGGAACTGGCAGAGGATTTCGCGAAGATGTCCAGAGATCCTGGGCGATATCTTGCCATTAAAGGGGATAAGTACATGAGACTGCCTTCGTATACATTACAGGTAATTTATGAGTACAAAATTTGTCTCTTCTACGTATTACCGTAGATTATGTCGAGATAATAATTAAAAATAATTCAAACAGTTATAATGGATTTCATTAGCTTAATAACTGCGTTATAATCACGATGCTTTCTGTATTTAGCAATTCAAAATGAAGAATAATTTGTTTATGCTAATTGTATAATTGCCAAAATTTCCAACAGAGAATTCACCGACGCAGTTTAACGTTATCTCGATTGTTAACATGAATTTTCAGGACGAAAGGGAGATGATACGAAATCTCGCGCCAGCGATGGACGGTCCTGAAGCTTTGGTAGATGCTGACGAGTATCTGCAACCTAAGTCGCGGGCTCCGCTCCCGCCCGTGATTTCCGCGTCAAGTACTTCCGGCTCACCGCCGAATACGCCGGTGAAGTCGTGCTGGCCGAACGGCAAGCCGCTCGCCGCTGATTCTCCAACGCCGCAGAATCAACAAAATTGGGACAGAGAGCTCTTGAGGTACGGCGGTAATCACGGAAGCGGAAACGCGTCGCACGAGGCCGGCAATTCCAGTCAGCACGCGCATTACGCGCATCCCAATGGTCACTGCGGCCACGTCGCAGGGTCAGATAGCTCGAGTTCGAGATACTGTTCGGATCCATTGAAGATGGTCAATGTTAGAGGTAAGTAAACGAAAATATCAATTGCACGCAAATAGGCTAGCTCTGGTTGGAGTGCTGATTGATATTGAATTAAGTAACACGAGCATTTTTCAGTAAATTTATTTAATAACGTTTCAGATTGCGACGTGACGGATGACTGTTTTGACACGAAAGTGAATATCGTGCATCAGCAAGCTCAAGTGGGAAACTTAAAATTGGATTTGCCATTAGATGAGGATGACTACCTCATGCCGTCGCCACAACTGCCAGTCAATACGACGCAATATATGGATCTCATTGGGGAATCTAAGCCAACAGGTGAGGGAAAGTGAAATTTGTTACTATTCTCAGCCACTTTATCTATATTGTGTAATACATGCACATAGACGTCCGGTTTATGTTGAAAATAAATGTGTTAATTTTTGTTTTTAAAAGTCTTTTACAATATTTATTTGTAGTTTTGTGTATGCATCATTTTGCGTATAATTGCTCTATTTCTTCCTTACGTTGTGATTAATATTTGTCATTTATTAATTTTATTATTTGCGGCATGCACTTGTTTTTAATAAAGCAGAAATTATTTTTATTTTATCCAGAACCCGAATCAAAGCGATTAAACAATGGCTTCCGGAAGTATCCAGACTTCCTAACAATTCAAGGGAAGACATCACTGGACAATCCGGAATACATAATGTCCCAGGACGAGGGTCCGCTCACGCCACAGACGTTGGGTATCCCTACGCCGGACTTGGAAAAAGTTTTGCCAAACGGCACCTTCGGATCTCAAATTAGGCAACGAAGTTCCGAAGAGGAATCGGATCACGAGTATTACAACGACTTTGATCGGTTGGAACGAGAATTGCAGCCATTGAAGCCCTTTAGAAAGAATGAAACGACGGTATGATTCTAGTGATACTATCGAGGATGCGGAAACAAGTAAAGATTTCATGCGTTCAAAGATGAATATGTCGATAAAATCTTTACTGGAACAAAGGCTGCATCTTGAAAAGATATAGAAAGAAGCACTGGAATGCTTTTTGTCATACAGGACCCATTGTACTTATAAAGGACACTTCGTTCAAGTGCCGCGGTTGATTGTGATTAGACGTAAACTAGAAGCATGAGTATTACGAAGTATAAATAAAATAAAGAGACTATAATGATACGCCGGAATGGAGAATCGTGTGACAGCGATACTCGTCAACAAGTAGTGCAAAGATATTCTTAATGTGCCATTTGTCGTGGCTTGTAAATAAACTACTTTTCGTACTAGCTTCTCGAGGATATGAGATATATCCTAGGACTTAATTCGTAACGACAGCGTCAATATCGTCTTTGCTTAATAACTCTTCTCCGGACCTATATTAAGGTATATCTTGAGCCTTGTCGTTGCAAAACGAATTTCATGATCCCACATGTAAAATGATTGAAAATTAAAAAGTGATACATGTAAACGGATTTATTAAGCTCTGCGACTAAATCTATTCTACATTTGTTTTTGCAATAACGACTCTAACATTAATTACGGCTCACATCTTCCGAAATTAGATCTTTACAGGCTTAAATCGATTTTGCCTCGTTACCCATTCTAACAAAGATATCTCTCATTGTCAGTGAACATTAAGTAACAGTTACATAATATCAATATTACATCTACATTGTTGAGTAAGAAATTATAATATTGACGTTATATGAGTGGTACTTGGTGTTTACTGGGCTGTGTATTTTGAAAACTAATATTTACCAGCGTTATCCACTTTTTAACAAACCCGATAAAAATGCGGATCAACATGTTTTCACGCAAGTAAATTTCATAAGTGCAAAATTATACCACAAGCGTAAAGTATTGAAACGTTAAAGTTGTTCACAGCGATCATTTGCGAACTTCAAGGAGATTTAGTGATCGTTATTATAACTTTGATGAAAAAACCATTTTTTAGACATTTTTTAACGGAATACTTGTAATATATTATATATGAAGTAATTGTTCAATGCATAGGACTTTGACACTTTTTTGCTTTGTCCTACCTTTTTAAATACAGAACAAGTACACTAATGACATTTACGTCGTTAAATGACGAACCTTCTACGATCATTTGTAACGAATGTAAATTCAAATACATTATTAACTAAAAATATTTTTTTATATTGACAAAAGATTGAATTTAAAATTTAAAATGTAACGTTTTAGTCTTTATTATATAAAATTATTGCATGCATTCAAACTGACAATAATGTCATTTTAATTATATTAATGTTTAATATGTCCCGTTTGAAGTTAATGTGTTTAAAGATATTTTATATGTATAATATCATATTTATTAAGTATTCCGCTAAGAATGACGAAAGTTAAGCGGTCCCGCTACAAAGATCAGCTTGCAACAACGTCCTTATGAATCTAATTAATGATAGTCTTTGTTTTAATCTGCTTTATGAATTATGGAAGAAAGTCCGTAATTTAGTGAGTTCAGTTTCTCATCCAAATGTGGAAGAGGATGAAGAAAAATCAGTGTTATATCGCTCAAACTGTTAGACGTTAGGGCAATCGGGTCGAAATATTTGTGCGGTACACCGCTGACTGTGATATGAATTACTTTATTTTATTTTGGGGACACTCAAATACCGCAATAATTAGCACCTTCCCTTTCCCTGCAGTAAGTTACGACAGCAACGCTACATTGTCCTATTTTACTGCCGAAGATGCATTCGCCTCGCGTTGTGATTCGAATCGATCGCGACGCAGACGAACGCGACTCTACTTAAGAATGGAGGAACATAGTGACACGAAGACGTTTTTTCCTTCCTCTTATGCCATCGTCTTTGTAGTTGGAATCAGTAAAATTGGCTCTGGGATGGGAATTATCAGTTCAATTTTTATACATGAAATACGATTTGTATATAGTTTAGCGAATAGGATAGTAAACGGGAATAATCTCCACAGGCGTACAAAACGGAGAGTAGTCGAACGAAAACAATGATCGTACGTCGTCAAAATACGGCGAACCGTATGTAACCGCAACAGTATATGATTAGGACGTGCCATGTACAGAAAAAGGGAAGAAAATACAGTAAGGAGCAAATTTTATAATGAAAAACGGATCTTTATTGTATTGGATAAATTCACGGGAACTCTATTCTACGAGCCTTGCATTTGCTACAGATGGGCAGGGGCGTGCGCGAGATTGGCGATCTCTTTTAGAAGTGTGTAATTATATCCATATAATATAGTTGATAAACCGCTGTCATTTTGTGACTTGGAAGAAAAATGATATTACACTATTATAATTATATAATTATTAGTTGGTCAGACACGATGACATTACGGCTCATCTCTTTCGTAAGGTCTCATTTTTACACAATTCCGGTTTTTCTGCTTAATCTCATTCTGATCCTACATGAGTGTTTAAGCAGAAAAATGGCGTAAAATCGAGATGCGACCTTGCGAGAGAGATCAGTCGCTTAGCAGTTTTAATTCTTTTTAATTTTGATACTTTTGTCATAGTAGTATAAAGTAATCGAATCAAGTCATTCCAAAAATATACATAGAGGAAAATACTTTCAGATTTAAAACATGTACTTCCTCATTCTTAAATCATTCAATGATATTGATATTATCTGTGGTGTCAATACCTTTATACGTGGGCAATGATTATCATTTTCAAATACAGAAACGGCTGAAATATACGTTTCAGCATATTCGTTTTTCTGCTATTGAAGGCACAAAATGATACTGATCGTGAGATAAAACGCAATGCATTTGTATATCTTCCTTACCGCAATCTTAGTCTATGACGGATCAAGAGTGTTTGCAAAAAAATGTGTGCGAGAAACAAAATGATGCGTGCAGGTTTTCAATCTCGCTGCATACCGTGCAGTATCTTACACGTAATAATGTAGACAATACGTATCGTGTACATTGTGTTAAGTGTTACTAATTATTATTATTATTGTAACATTCTCTTTGTAATATATCATTCACCGTGACGCATTACTCGCTACACGAGGAAGGACACGTGATTTTTCTTGAGCGGAACAAGAAAATGTCTTTCCACTTTCCTTACTGTCGCAAATTTGGTATTAAATATATAAATTGGACTGCGACTCAGCGTGTTAACTAGAAATTGTACAGTATAATCGAAACGTTATGTAATTTGCGAGAAGTTGCATTTGCCATTCGGTTGTGGACATAGAACTTATAGATCTTTATTATATCATTATATATATCATAAAAATTTATTGTAATAAAGAACGAATATTCTTATCGATTGTCGTTTTTCCTCAGAACTTAAATAATTTAGCGAAAAGCGTAAATTAGGAATATTTCTCAACGATGTTTTTCCAGATACACGTTTACTGCACACTCTATATAATTCTCTTTAATTTTTTCTACTTACAAATATTTCCCCATAGTAATATCGCGAGAAAGGAACCATAATAAAAATCAAGATTTTATCTTACATTTTTTAATAATTTTACATGTTTTACGCAAATTTGGTATTAAATATATAAATTGGACTGCGACTCAGCGTGTTAACTAGAAATTGTACAGTATAATCGAAACGCTATGTAATTTGCGAGAAGTTGCATTTGCCATTCGGTTGTGAACATAGAACTTATAGATTTACATTTTAAAAGGTTAAAGAAAATGAAGTTAAAGTTAAATATCTAATTGAGTGAAGAAGAATGAAAGAAATTATCATTCTTCTAATGAGATACAACGATAACTAATCTTCTTTTTAAAAAGGTATGTAAGACGTTTAATTATTAACGCTGTTATGCTGATTTTCTCGCTTGGCTTTGTACTGCGAGTAGCTGTCGGTGCAAAAATCATGTAATATGTATTTTGACAAAGTGTCAATGTCAGATTACGTTTTCTTCGCATAAAAAAAATCTTAATGCGTGAAGAAGATCGTGAATAAATATAAATTAAAACCAAATAGCGCGAGCAATGCTATTTCCAATTAAGTATTTAATACCAATTTATAATATTAATAAAGCAAATAAATCGATAATTTTTGCCCATAATAAATGAAGATTTGCAATTTAGTAATATACATTTGCATACACCAACTATTGAGGTAAAATCTCAAAGTAATTGGAATTTAAGTAACAATGATTTTTGTGTCGAAACATTTTCTCGATTGAACAATTAATCGTTAATTTAATCAATACCATTAAGTCCGCAGAATGATACGCAAAACGTAGTAACAATCACGAAGCAAAGTAATGTAAAATATTAAGTACAGAATTTTCAATTTCGTACTCGCGGGACAACGAACTTTCAACGTTTTTTTGTTGTTTTTCTGTCGGCGCTGTATCGTACGACGTTACGCGGGCCAACGTTTACCTGAAGGTCGCCGTGCTATTATTCGCTCGCCGAACGTCGTGCCGGCAAGCAGTGGCGAGAGTCGCTCCGTGCGTGTTATTACTTTTGCGTTATCGGTTTCCAAGACTCGATCGCGACGACTGTAGGGATAAAACGCTATCGATTTTTACATCTTTATCAGTGACGAGTAACGTTCCTCGATTAGTTATTAAGTTTCTACAACTTGCAACGAGAAACGAATTCCATGTTGAGGCGACGGCTCTTTATCAACGTGTACATAGATATTTCACGAGACTAACTCAATTACATTATGAATGTAAAAGGCCTTCACACATAAAATTCCGTAAGGACGTAAAACGTAAGCGTAAGAAAATCAACAGGTTGGATTTGCTACTGCTTGCGTCATTGCCTTACGTTCTCGACTGTGATTGGTCGATTTTCTTATGCTTACGTTTTACGTCCTTACGGAATTTTATGTGTGAAGGCCTAAACCGTGGTACTTTGTCGCGGTTACATCTCATTTACGCACCGTTTACTCATTTACACTCATTTCGCGGTGTCTCACATCGCGTACGGGAGTGTCCGAAATTTCGCGCGATCGATGATTTGCGCGAGTGAGTGTGTGTGAGTGCAACAAGGAAATCTACGAGGAGGAGGAGGCCATGGCAAGGAGGCATCGGGCAACAGCGAAGAAATCGGTAAGGTGAGTGTCTTACATTTTCTTGTTATTTGCTACTTGTGCAAAATAATTTATTTATTATTTTATTTATTGAAATGATTCGAACGAGGATTCGAATAAGTGTGAGAGACAAAACCATACGTACAAAATTTTGTGAGTTCTGCTTCTGTTTGATCATCGTGGATCGTGTCGTAGTATCGGAATGAGTTCTAACATTCACGCAACAAAATCGCAGTGAAAATCGCAAAGCGTTTAATTTACCAATAAGTAACAGATGCTACCTAAATACATTACGTTTAATTCATATAGCAGGAACGTAACTACCGACACAATGATAGATATAATAATAAAGTTATTTAGTTATATTTTGCGATCAGTTGGTCAGCATAATCGACGTAGGATTTCTTTGCGTCTTCTTGCGAGGTGCCCTTCTTCTTGTTCCATGCTTCCCACTTAGCTTTTCCTTTTAAATCCAGCATGCCGGGTCTGGCTAAAATGTTACACAATATACATTCATAATATTGCACATAATATAATAAACATTATTTTATATAATTACGATATTATTTATTTTACAATCTAGAACATCGGCAAAGTAACCGAATAGATGAATAATTATTTTTCTATGATTTACGCTAAAATAAATATAATTTAGCAAGTGTGTATGAAATATTATAAACGACATGAAATATTACTATTATATTAATTTTCATTGTGTCAGTAAGAACTTACACGTGTTATTGTCGCCAACTGTAGCTTGTTTGAATAAAGCATAAAGCTCCAAAAGCTCCTCGTCAGTAGGACGCTTCGTGAGCGCCTTCACAGCTTCGGCAGCCGCTTCAAATTGCTATAAGCAAAATGCAATTTCGTCATTTCCAAACAATACTTTATTAGTTATTCAATTAATACTATAAGCCTGAGAAAATTAATATTAGAGAAGTGTTCGTCAGTAGTATTGTTGTTAGTCACTACGTATTTCAGCAACGTATTATGTATATCAGCTTATGAATATGGATTACGGTCAGAAATGGCCACGAAAATGGCCTTTGCGTGGATGACTCTGCATTAAGCCCCTTAAAAAAGCGGTCTCCGTTATTCAAGTAGCAAGCAACGACAAATAATATCAACTTCCCTTGTAGAAATGTTAACGAAATAATTACCAGAAAATTACAGTACATCAGTAATTTCTAATAATTCAATTACTGAACTTTAGTAATTGTTGAGTGCTTTTTTTCCAGCTGTTACATTTCTATAAGGGTCGCTACCTAGATACTAGTTAAATTCAAAATCCATTGAAATTGTTCACGTCGCTAAGAAAATAAAATAATACAACAGTAATTCGCAACTTTTTAGTCGTATAATTTTTAAGATCGCGATAACGACCTTAAAACTCGCCGACTTCTGAACTTTCGTCGGCCAAATGCACCGAGATTAAATGATACTCTGCTGTTTGTCCCGAATTTCTCCTCGGAGAAATGCGCACGATAATGTCGCATACAGTCGCAACTTGGAATTCAATGAAATTAGAATACTGTGTCGTAAGTCAATTTTCGCGATTCATTTCGGTTTGATTCTCGAATCTGTCGATACTTTCCTGATACAATCCATTGCTCCAAAGTCCGAAAAAATAAGTATATACGTAAAAAAATATCTATATGCAAAACACAGAGAATACACTCTTTTGCACACAATTAATAACGTACTCTTTCCGCATCGCGATCAGAAATAAAAGAAAGTATATGGTGTACCTGATTGAGGGACATCCTTAGAGCTAGTCGCACGACTACACTGTAGATATTATAAGTACTTTGTGACCGCCGCTCGAATGATTGCACAAGTTAAAAACGCTAATCCCCACCTCACGAAACTTATCGCGATGCGTGAGCCAGGGTCGGACAACACGACCCTGTTTCTTCTTTCCGGGGTATTGAAAGCTCGTTACAGATTATTGCGAATATAAGCGCTTCGTGAATGTACTCATGTTTTGTGCAATACTTTCGCAATACGTACACAATGCGATAAATTAAAGGGCAGGCAAAACTGATCAATACAACATTACACATTCATTTGTAAATCATGAAAAAATAAAATAGAAACATACGAGGTAAAAGAATTTTAAGCCTGTATTTATAGACGCTCAGCTGAAAAAAAATTCAACTGAGAAACTAATCTTGAGATGTAAAACAGTTCAATAAATAAATCTAAAAATGTGATGTTCACGACATCACATTTTTAAGCACGATTGAAGTCTACGAGAAACCTAAATGAAATGTATCTTGAAATACTTGTCTGAATCATCTTTTTCACAATTCAATAATCAAAGCTTGAGAAAAGATTTTATATAAACTGTTCCCTAAGAAAGAAACAAAGAATGAGTTAAACTAATTGTAAAGTTACAGATAAGGAATGTTGGAGAAACTGGGTCTAGGCAACGCAAATGACATAAAATGTACCTTTTTTATTTACTGAATATTATTTGTTGAAAAATATTTAGAGCACAATCGACATAAAGAAATAAAAAACATTTACATCTCGTGTTAAAAAATCACATTTTATGTAATTTACGCTGCGTCCCTCGGTATTTAAATTCTGAATTTCTCCCAATGCAAACAATATGTGCCGCGCGTTTTGTAACTTCTCTTGACATGACTAGACGACATACTTAATAAAAAATATAGTGCGCTATTTTTAACGTTACTAGAGTTATCTTGATAATGAATCAAGAGCAAAATGTGTAAACAGTATTCATATAATACTAAATAAAAAATTACTTCGTGTTGCATAAGACATCCTGCATATATGTTAATAATTTTTTTTATTTTAAATTAGCTGAATCTTTCTGCTGAATCCGACAAAACAAGCATGGAAATGAAAAATTACACCTGATAAATATATTTTGTAAAGTTCTCAACAAGTTGTAAATTAGTTGCAAATCCACTATAATATAATATTATTATGCAATTGTAACTGTTAGAAAATAATATATTATTATAACATATATTATACATTATTTTATAATGTAATACTGTTATTCTGATTTTGTTTGGAAAAATAGAGCATAAAAATTTTGACAATATATTTTTAATGCAACCAAAGAAAAATGCAAGTTGCTAAATTAATCTTAATAGTATGATTATAATTCAATTAAATTTCCAATTCAAAAATTAGTTTTCCAGGAGAAACGCTCGTTGTCAATCGCATTTACAACTTTAATGTTAAATAATCAATTTTCCAATACTTTTAATACTTTCATTGGAAAATAATCGCTTTTAATTTGAAAGAATATGCAAGTAAAGATACGATTTCATAAATTAGTGGCACTACATTTCTGTGTATAAAGCGGTATACTGGTTTTAAGATTGACCGTAGGAAACCCCGTTATAGACGAGCACTCGTCTATGAAGCCTTTCCGCGACCTCGCAAATGGTGTATACGCGAATACAAACATTTTGAAAACACAATAACATTCGAACACATTCTATATATGTATATCCTATATATTCATATATATAGAGAATAGAGAAATTATAAGAAATATATAAATTAAAAGGAATTAATGAAAATGTTTATCTTGCAAATTCATGAACTCTTATTCTATGAGATTAAAAATTGGTAGGACAAGTTCTTGGGTCTTTCTCTATTTTATTCTTTTTCCTTTTTCTGTTTATTTAAATAAAATTCTGATAGAATTAGATAATTTAAACTTAAAAATAATATAATCTTCTAAATTTCCCCGAGTAATTTCTGATTTCATACATCAATTAATATCACAGATCAAATTTCCGTCGATTAATTCCTTTTAATCAATCTGTATTTTTTTTTGTATAAAGATACACTACAAGCAATACCTGATCGACCGACATTGGGATGTGAATCCGCTTCGTGTGCGAGCTAACTGTCTACTGACTGAAGCTAGTAATCACGATTCCACGCTTTCCGATCGCCGCATTTATTACTGTAGCATCAGAGGTGGGGGTGTGCACGAATTTCGATCTTGAACTGATTGTGAATTACCGTGGTTTATTACAAACGATTGCATACGTACATATAAATCTAATCATGGTTCAAAGTTCATAAATTGATTACAATCAAGCGATACGTGTATTTGAAAAACAATGACAATGAAAATGACAACTCGAGAAGGCAGTGCGCAATATGCAAATAATTGCAAAAGATTTTATTTGCAGAAATAAGCGTATATGTGTATAACACGCAAACGTAACATTAGCAATATTAATGAAAAACCTGAAGATACATTTATGCTAGAACAGAAATTGCAATTCAACAAATGTGTGATTGCACGTATCTTCCGGCAAATAAATTATTGTTTCTCACATTGTTTCTGCGATTTGGTTGTCTAATTGAAACAGAAACGTAAGGGCAACTACAATTAATTCAAAAAAATTCATAAAATTCATAAGGCTCTGACGTGAAATCACAATTCGAAGGAATGAAAGAAATAAGAGCCAACACAGGATGTTAGTGTATAAATAATTTTTTTGGCTTTTCCTCGTACTTCGTTGCGAATGATGCGAATGTATATTTCTAACGTCGATCTTTGGTCTCCGTTGATCATATTTAAACATTTTATAAAGACCTACATTTGGTACTTTCTCGATTATAACTTATGTATTATTTTATTAACTGACGGCGTTCGCTAAATTCAACACTTATTATATGTATATCTATCATTGAGAAGGATCACTTTGTGTGATCGAAACGTCAGACGTAATTATTTATATTTCGATTTATTAAATTTTATAAATTTCACACATAACGTCTTGTGTTGACTCCTATTGCCTATTTCTTTATTCGTTTTTTATTTTATTATTGGAATCTGATTATTTTTCTTCAATGATTTTAAAACAAAAGTATAATATTTCCCCGTCAGCAAATATTAAAATGAAGGGTGAATAATTCGACACCACTGGCAACAGGAAAACCTCCTTTATTAGCACAACGTTTCGGCCATGGCTTTTGGCCCTTATCAAAGCCCTTATCAATCTTGATAAGGGCCAAAACGTTGTGCTAATAAAGGAGGTTTTTCTGTTGCCAGTGGTGTTGAATAATTTTAATTTTTTAATTTATCGCGAAAACTTACACTTAATAAAATATAATTAGCTCATTCCTTCAATGCGCTAGCAAATTAGCCATAGGTATTCATCGGTATTCATAGTCAGATCTTACATTCAAGACCATTTTGAATTTATCTAAAGATGCGGTACGGAACATTTCATTGGCTACGGAGTATCTAAAGATGATCTTGAATATAAGATCTGACTATGAATACCGGCTATAGTATGATACGAAGCGAGCAAAATAATTGTAATTTAAGAACCTACATATACGGGCGAAATAATGATTGCGCATAAGTTCGAGGTTACAGATTAACATTTAACAATGTCAAAAATAAAAGAAAACCGCAAATACGTGTTTCACGTTGTATCTTGCGTAAACAATACGCCGTTGCGAGAACACCACTACGAACAGATTGTATTTAACTTCGAGATTTGTTCGAAAAGCAAACTCGCGCGAGAGATATTCGCGTAACACAATACTGATGGGCTGCGTAAAAGTGGCACGCAATGTTATTCACTGTCCGTTTTGTTCCCTTTTTCCTCTCGTTAACGGATGAATCGATTGAACGTATCATATTTTATCATGCTCTACTTTGCAAGAGGAGCCGTCTTTAAAGACACAATTCCGCTGGTCCTTGCGCGCGGTGTTCAGGGAAGAGGCGAACGGGGCCAATGTGCCACATCAGCATCCCGTAAGTACTCACCTGCGCAGGAATGTCGGGATTCCTGACTACCTCTGACGCACGATTTATCACGTCCGCATATTCACTCACACACGCAAACGTAAACGTCTGTATATGTACAAAGTGAGTCATTTTAATTCGCCACCCCTAATAACTTATTTGGTTTTAATTTGAGAACAAAGTGTTTCAGACAAAAACAGTTGCTTGCAGGTCACGTGAGGATCACCTTAGATTTTTTTAATGGAACCCCCTATTGTTTATTATACTGTCTTATTCTACTAATTAATAAGAGCAACTTTGAACAACTTTTGTCTGAAACATGTTTTAATTTATCCAATACTCTTTGAAATATTCAAGAGAAAATTGACAAATTTTTCAACATTTAGCTTATGATATCTCGATAACTGCTTGTTGGAGAGAAAAGTAGTACAGCACACTTTTTTACTTTATTTGGTCTCAGGAGTATGCTGTTGCAATAGTGCTCTAATTATTGAAAATTATTGTGCATGCAAATTTTGTGTGTGGTAAAATACACAAAAATGTTCAATAATTGGAAGACTATTGCAACAACATATTCCTCCTATCCTGTATTACTTTTTTCTCCGACAAACAGTTATCGAGATATAAGCTAAATATTGAAAAAGTTATCAATCTTGGTGGTAAATAAAAATGACACTCTGTATATATATATTTATACTTATTATATTTTTATATTTTTATATCTATATACTCTTTTTCAATACATCATTTTTGCTTATTAAAAATAACTGCATTGCAAATTATATTACAATATTGTTTTGAGACGCATAAAACAAATACATTAAGTGATTTCTTAAGAGATCGTACTTGTTCGAAGCGCAAAAACGTTGAGTGATTTACATACTTAACAAACGAATAATCAGGCACTAATAAAAAGTGTGTATATATAATCTTTTTCAATTAATCAATTTTACTTATTACAAATAACTACACTGCAAATGTATTGCAATATTTTTTTATAAGACGTATAAAACAAGTACATTAAGTGATTTCTTAAGAAATCGTACGTGTGCAAAGCGCAAAAACGTTGAGTGATCTACATACTTTACAAATATAATTAGACACCAATAAAAAGCATCGTAAAAGGCATTTTCACTTGTAATAATTTTTTAGTGACGAGCATTTAATATAAAATGATGTTAACACAAATAGTTCTTCAAGACAACAGCAATATAGCAATTGCAGCAATATTTTTTATCTGCCGCGACATATCAAATAAATGCTATGTGTCTGAAGTTATCTTTTAACGTATTTCAACTCACACTGCAACTGTTAACGAGTCATAATTAATTTAAACAAATGACTAGTGTAAAACTTTATGCCATTTGTTGCAAGATGTTGCAAAGACGTGACATACAACGGGCGTATAATGCACAAAAGAATTGTCGCGTTGCGTACATGGGAGTCAGCAGAAAGTTTGATTATGAAAACGCTCGGGCACAAGAACGAAACGGAGAAATCCTCGAAGGAGGAATGCGGAATCACTGCCGAACGATATTGGACACGCTACACGCAATTTTCTTGCCTCTCGTCAGCCGCGCATCCTTCGCTGCAGCGCGATGCATTGAGCTGTAAAACCGACGTACTGCAAATGTTTAATAGAAAGTAAAATTGTATTAGCGGGGAATACGTCCGAGAGAGAAATCTTAACAAATATCTGGCGCTTTTGTACAATAATACCGCGGTTAGAGTAAAAGTATAATTATAAATAATTTAAAGTGTTTCTTCTTGCGCGTACATCTTGAAATCCGCAAGTGACTTTCACTCCAGCTGTACAATCTTAACAAATTTGAAATCAATTTTAGAAACGGGACTGATGCTCGCTCTAAAACGATTTATACTAGGATTTGGGATAGAATTCTATTAATAATTTTCTGCACCGTGTAATACGAAACAAAGAATCCTACATTTGGAAGAAGAGCCGTATGTAAAATTAACATAAAAATACACGCGTGTACATGTACGCGTCAAAGTGTATGGCATGCTAATAGAATTCCATGTTGAAATCACACGTGAATGATGGATCGTGGTAAAAGTAGACTTAATATGAAAGAACCGCAATTATTAAAAAATAATAAGCATAACTATTTTATCATAAGGAAGAATATAGTTGCATTTCCTGAAATATCACTTTGTCCAGCTATTCAAAAAACTGTGCGCGCTATATGCTATGGTGTATGTACAATTAGTAGAGGAAAGTCCTCTATTATGAGATAGGCTTTTAACATGAAACAGCAGGTTTTCAACATCAAAGTTTAATCACAAATCTTCATTCACAATTACACGGTCTAGCCATGAATTTTCCGCTAAACGGATTTTACTCCAGGAGCAATAAATTCCCGATAAAACCAATGGATGATGGCTCAATTAATTCAGCAAAAACCCTGCTATCTCATATTACAAGCTTATCTCAGAATAGGGCACCTTCCCCTGCATGCAATCGTTTAAATGGTATTTTATAACAAATTGCATTTACAAATTATACGAGCGTAACGTCAAATTTTTAACACACGTTTCAACAAACTCTCAATTCTCGTAACATCGGCAGTTTTAGATCAATACCGATAGAAGTGTGTTAAGTGGGGAGCAGACTAATATACATAGTATTCAGATAAAATTTGGTTTATCTTATCGAGCAAAGTGCAACGATTGATCTTTTTCCTCAACATTATTACCGTTAATCTCGTCCAACGCACATACATTAATGTGTAAATTTTGCGAACGATGCCATACGCGTGCAAAGAATGTTGTGCGAAAAACTATCGACAATCAGCAACCGCAAGTGCAACTTTCACGAGCACTCTCGCAATCTGACGTGCAAATATTTTGCGGAAAATACGCACACACGTATACAGGAAGTATTGATCGAAAAACTCATTCAAGTTCCGGAACAGCGGCCATACTTGTTTTGCAACATTTTGCACACGAATGTAATCGGGTCGTGCTTTGAATTTATTTTACTAATAACGTTGAAACAAGAGAATCAATTAATTATAAAAAAGATAATATTGACTATAATTTTAATACATTCATGCGTATTTTATGATGTTACCAGACAACACAAGCGCGCCATTTGCGCTCTGTAAAAATTGGCATGGTGTGACAGCTGCAAATAACACGACTGAAGCGTGTCGTGTCGCATAAGCGAGACACCCAATTAGCATCTCGGAAAAGCAACGAACAATACTTTCGACTATCGACTTAATAACACGGCGCCTTTTTTTATATAGGAGGACAAAAACGAATAAGATAAGTAATGTATTTAATTGAGCGATCGCCGCAGACTTCTGCAGTTTCATAATATCTCCATCGTTATACTATTAATTGTGATTTAACACGTTTAACGAGAAAAGGCATAGAAATGTCGGCGAGAAATAACGGAAAGCGTCGCGATTTAATTTTCCGAATAATTTATCATCTCTTTTCTTGAAGGCCGCAGATAAAGAAACTCCATGAATCCATATACGATCCGTTGAACGGAGGCACGCGAGAGCCCGCGGATCCAGCGATCCATGGATCGCTGATCCACGCGCTACGGTACTGGCGCGCGGCGAATCTCGCCGAGCGGTTGCCGACGATCCCCGAGTCCGGGATCGCGAGGCTCGCGCCCGCGCGCGAGAGAGTGCTCCGAAAATCCGGCGCGAGCGCGGCCGCGTGATTTGTCGGCGCGCACACGCGCGGCCGCTCGATCATCGGCCGATCGATCGTCAAGCGTGGATCCGGGAGCAGCGTCGCGCGATCAGTGCGCGTCGCGCCGCGTGATCGTACGTTTCGCGCCGTCGCGCCGCGTCGCGCTCGTCGGGCGAGTGCACGTGCGACGCGCTCAGTGAAGTGCGGGCTTTGCGCGAGATACGAATTCCACGCTCATAACGGATCCGCGCCTCTCCGAGGAGGTCGCGAGGCGTTCGCGCTAGGCCTCGACGCGAGATCGAACGGAACGTGCACCACGGCCGCGGCTTTTTCGCAAAGCGACGAGTTTCGCGCGACGTTACGCGACTGGCGAGTTAACGAGGAACGGGGCATGGCAAAATAATCTGCCGTCGCACAGCTGGTTTTCCGCGACGCGCCGTCGCCGAACTCGCGATTACATCGATATACGTGAGTTTGAAGCCACAAAGAATAACTTTTAACTTGGATTAAATTGTTGGACTACCGCGCGACAACTGTGCCTTTGTTATTTACACGTGTACAATTGTTGTTGTTAATATTGCTGAGAGGTAAACAGTTTGATAGCTGTCGTGAAATTAAAGAAATATAATAACTGTCGTTTGCTCGCTGGAATCTTATTGCACCGTCATAGTTGCTGAACGGCATCAATTAACCCACTTAATCGAGATAAAAGCGGAATCGCTTTCATAACTGAATAAGCTAGAATAATAATCTGTTTAACAACTGAGTGAAGTAGAGTAACGTTATGAAGTCTGTAAAATCGCTTAGCAAAAACAATTAGTCCGTCGTTTCTCAGAGAAATTAAATCTGAACTGAACTAATTAACGCGAGCTACGTTTAGTCTCTGAATTGATTTAGGTCGACGGAAATAGGCGACTTTTCCCCTGATAGCACGGAGGAATCCATTCTACATTCCACGAATAACAATTCCTGTAATAATAGATAATTGCTGATTAGATCACGACAGAAAAACAAAGACCGAATAGCTCGCGATAGCGGATGACGACTCTTGTTTCCCGGCAATTAAAATGGAAGCTGCGATAAGCTTATTCGCCATCCTGATTCGCAATTTCGAATCTTAAAAAAAAATAAGTACACGGACAGAATTTTTCTTAACATTTACCCTGAAAATCCTGCAATCGTGGGACAGCGTGGCATTTCGGAGAATTTTATCAGAGTCCTTTGAAATTTTACCACACTGAGAAAAAATGTCCGATTAAATATAATCGGATAATCCAATTACATAATAACAAACGGATATATCCGATGAAAAATATGATCGGTTTTTCGATCAAATTTCATCGGTAACTGCATTTTATCGGACAAATTTCATCGGATGTGTCTATAATTTAATCGGGAAACGTGATCGGGAACAGGGAACTTTCCTCTATACGTTTTAGTAATAGAATGTATGGCAAAATTTAAAAAAAACTCTCATAAAGGTCTTCAAAATGCCATATGTTGTCCCACGTGATTTTCAAGGTAAATTTGAAGAGAAAATTCTCTCCGTGTAATCGCATCAATTGTACGAGATCTTGCAGATACTCAATACATGCCGTTAGATTCAGAGACGTCAAAAATCGAATTATGTAACAGTAGAAATAAGCGTTGCATCCGTTGCATAATAAACGATCACTGCCAATGGCAACATCGGCAGTAATGTGCACGCGCGATACCCGTGATAAGGGCTCACGCATGAATGCGGCTTATCAGCGTTTTCGCGGAAAACGTTTGGACGTGCGGTTCTTTAACATCCTCTTCGTGCCAGATTGCGATTTGCGACGATGATTCTTCTTCCTTTCGGTTTGCGTGATTACTATTGTGCCGCAATCTGGAGACACGTAATAATGCGCATGAGAAACGCGAACCCATCAATAACTGTTGCGAACAGAGCAGCATGAGGTATACTTGGAGTTAGATTTAACTGACGTCAAAAATATAAAAGGTATATAAACTGAGGGGAAAACGTTGCAGAAAATAGAATTAGAATATGGAAATTTTCTCTGGGCTTTCTGAATATTTAGATAACGAAGAATATCTGTGTGAAATGTGATTCTCTCCAAAGGTCTGTGTCCACGATGCTAGAATTTGGTCCAAGTTCTCGTTCCGCTACTCCGTAAAAGCTGCGAGTCGATTGGCCACACATTTCTCGAAACTGGAAACTTGGACCAAGTTCTAGCATCGTGGACACAGGACACAGGCCTTAAAAAAGGGTTATAGAAAATAGTGCGGTGTAAATCTGTAAATGACCTTTAAAAATTTCCGTAAAAATTTGGATATTGTAGGAAGGAATAGTATAAAATAGATTTCTATTCAAATCTCTAATCTATTATACATGGCACAATAAGGAAAATAAACTGTAGATAAAAACATACGTAAAAGTACTGCAATCGGGAATCTTCTTGCAAGATTTCAGGTTGAAGATGAAAAGAATGTATAAGTATAAGAACATTGAAGAGCAACGAGATATTCAAACGAAACTAGAGTGAGCCGCAACTGACCAGGCCTTAAAAAAGGGGCGAGATGATCCCTTCACCCACTGCCAATCGGAGTTTCCTGCACGGAAGCGGCAAGGCTGCCCTAATCTCCAACAAAGTCGTTTACGCCACTCTCGACAGCTTAGCCCTGAAACGAACGCGATTGCCTCTGCAGTTGCTTCCTGTGGAGTGCGACAATGTCGTTGGTAAACTGGACAAGAAGGAAAAAAGACTCATCAACGGAAAAACGTCGAATAAACGACCGTCTTACAAGGTGCGTCGCCGTTCAAATAGATATTATGTATTAACGAATCTTCAAATGCACAGATTTTATTCCCAAAAAATTCGAGAACCCATAAATTCCAAAAACATTGGAAACTTTACGCGATAGATTAATCTCAATTTTCAGAAAAGCCACGAATTGAATTACAATATTACTAATGCAAAATTTTTAATACAAACAGAGGACGGTCCTCTATTATGCGATAGGTATCTAATATGAGATAGCAGGTTTTCAACACTCAAATTCAATCACAAATGTTTTTTCGCAACGATTGCGAATTTTCGCACGATTTTCGCACAATCTAACAATAAATTTTCCACTAAACAGACCTCGCTCCGAGAGCAATAAATTCATGGTGGAATCAACTGACGATGCCTATTAATTTAACAGAACTCCCGCTATCCCATATTAGGATCCTATCTTATAATAGAGGACTTTCCTCTGTACGTTTTATTGCAAACGAGAAAAGATTTTAGACAAAGAGGCTAAAACGATTTTATGAACGTCTTTAAATATCTAAGAAATTAAAGATATTAAATAATGAAAGGTAAGGTTGTAATTATTTATTACGGTTTATACAATTTAATAAGATTCAAATAGGAGATAGATTTTTTCAAATTCTTGAAAGAGAGTATGTCACGATCGTTCCTGCGCACAACCCGGATGTGTATTTAAAAATAAGAGTTTACGTGCGCTCTCTCTCTCTCTCTCTCTCTCTCTCTCTCTCTCTCTCTCTCTCTCTCTCTCTCTCTCTGCCTACGAGGGTAGAAACCGAATAAGAGTTTTCTCTTACGTACATGAGAATACGCACATGTGGATACACGAGCAAAAGGATGCTAATGGCCGGAGGAGTGGCTTGTTAGCTCTTACGACGTTAGCTTACCACGTCGGATAAGAATCGCGAAGACGGAGCACCTCGATCCTTCACCGTACGCAATTTCCGCGACACCGTTATGCGAAAAAGCGCGATCCCATCCGAAAACTTAACCGGCGACTAAAACGCGACATTTCCAAGACGACTTATCGAGCGACTTTTATTGCACGATACAGTTTTATAGCGGAGTAACTGCAATTTCCTTGTATCGCCAACATTCCACCGGTTTGATGAGAGCACGGAATGCGACCGACAGATAGAAATCGCGGCTTACGGCCGACGCACGTGCTGCTGCCCGTAAAATTGCAAAATTCCACTTTAAATCACGAATGTCACACCTTTCTCACAACGAAATAAAACATTTTCTTGCGTGGAAAATCCCTCCTCGGATGTTACCACGAATTCTATTGTTACAGAACTTTTCTGATTATGTACATATTTCAACACTTTCCTGCAAATAGATTTCCATAGGAAAAACCGTTTCTGGCTTTCATTATGATGAAAGTTGAATATTATTTTTACATGTTTATATTTCGTGATAAGGGAATGCACCATCGTTTCTAAATGAAAATTACATTTTTGTCAGGAAATAAATTGTATTAATTTATAATATTATACATATTTGTTACATCTTTGTAATTTCTAAATCTTTTAGGTATACAAGTGGCGTTCAATGTAATCGATGATTACAGTAGAAAAAATATTGACTGATTGAAACAATTAACATTTCATTTCAATTACATTTTAACTGTTACCGTGAAATCGAATTTTTCCGGACTTTTTAAAAACTTTCTCCCTTAGGACACTTGCAACGACCAATACAATTAGTCGTCCATTTAATTCCTCCCGTTTCGTCATCAGGTGAAATCCGGAGGTAGTCATCAATGGAAAAGTTACTCCAAGTGCCTGGTCTTCCCCTCCGCGAAGGCGGAGAACCAGTCGACGACTCGTGCCACCAGAATACTAGATATCGGAACCGAATGCAATATCGAGAATACTCCCAGAAAGGAAATTCAGGCACCAATAAATGCGACCGGTGTCGTAGAAAATACCGTAGAAAGTCCATTTTCTACTAGACTATCTGCGAAAGAAGAATCTCACGTTAAGGACTTTCGAAGCGGCAATAATAATGGTTCAGCGCATACGCAAACGGAGACGAATTCTCGCGATGACACCAGTCTCACCGAGGATCAATGCGAGAAGGAAAAGTGCTCGATCGAAAGAAGACACTCCAATGCATCCAGCGACTACGAAAGGATTAGCATAACAGATTACAAAGCGTCCACACACGATCTTGAAGTTCCAGACGAGGCAGTTGCCGAATCCATCGCACACATTTATAAGATAGAGAAAAATTCTCCGATTCCCCCGAAGATAGCCACGAAGTCGCTGTCCGCGAACGACCTGGCGACGAGAGAGGCCACGTACGAGTGCCCTTTCGTGGGATACTCGAGGCAGGACACGGAGTCGATTACGAGCGACGAGAGCGATGACGCGTCGTCGCGGCACAAGAAGAAGAAGAAGAGGAGATTCACCAGAAACGTGCTGCACTATGTACCGCGGCATCTAGTGAAGCAGCCGAAGAAGAAGAAGAAGCTGAAGAAGAAACTCGCGCCGAGCAGCTCGCTGAGTTCCCTGAGGTCCTTGCGAACGGAGGCCTTCCCGAGGACCACCGGACTCCCGGACTCGTGCGTCAAGACCAGGGGCCTGTCGAGGGACGAGCTGAGGAGCGTCGTCATCTCGTCGCCCACAAACTTCGTCCACGTGGCGTCCGCTACGAATCCCAGCCTGATACGAAACCCCGTCGGATTCGATCTGGAGCAGATCGTGATTACTCATCAGCAGATATGCGCCACGTTACCTCTGATCGTTAGAAAGGACGAGCGAGGCAAGAGTGGAAACATCGAGCAGCCCAAGGTCGCCATAAGAATGCCACCCGCGGACGACGTAACTGCCAGGCAATCCGGGCAAAACCAATCAGCCATCGAAAGTGTCGCGGGTACGTTCTCCTGACACATCGTCAGATTTCTTTGCCGAGTTCGATAATCGTAAAAGAATTTATGTAAATATCGTCTTGCTCAAGTGCGGCTTGATTTGCGCAATTGCGCCTTTGAATTTATATAACGTCAAGTCGGATAATTGAAGGCATTGAGCAAACGCGCACAATATAATAATTCCTCTTCTAATATCATGGAAGAAGAATTAATATTACGAGCCTGTTTAGTTACTTAATTATTAATATTATTTTTTAATTTTTATTTAAAGATTTGATTACTGCGTTTAAACAGATTTTAATTATATTTAATAGCAAGAGAATTTTACGAAAATTTTACTAACTACACGTTACATTTAAAATATATATACATGATGAAAACGAAATCATATTCAGCGCCTGAAAGGCCGTAGGAAGCGATTGCCTTATTTTCTCTTGCGCATTTTATTGAAATACAAAACAAGGTTACGCAGAAGGGAACAAGATTAAACAGTAGAAATATCTATCAAGCTTTTTCGTCGCTCTTACGTCTCCACTTCACTTCTGAAAATGTAGCTGTATTAAAAAATACCCTGTATAAGATACGAGTGCGGGCGCTATCTCTCTGTTCATACAAAGTAGCATTTCCTATGATATACAGCGATATCTACGAGATAAGATTCTGACAACGGATTCTCTTGCAGATAGGAGCGATCGGACGAATTACGCGGAGATACAGAGCGACTTCTCGAGGGATTCCCAGGCGGCGAAAGTTTTCGAGTCCGGCCAGATGGTGAAAATCGCGTCCGTGAACCAGGCTGATTCACCGGAAGAGACGTACGAGCCGGTCTGCGAGTCTACCCCCGCGGCGCCGCCACGGGCCAACTGCAGCTTTCTGTGGAGCAATCACGGGGCGAAGACAACCTGTCCAAATGACAAGCCGGACGCGACGGCTGCGTGCCGTGCTTCAAGGGAAAACGACGACGGCACCGACAGCGAGGAATACGACGACGTAGGGCCGTCGAACTTCGTTGCTCAAGAGGTACGGATTGTCGTAGGCAACGGAGATCGTCGCGAGCCTCGACAGAAACGAAATTAATATCGACGAATAACGCGAAGCAACGCGCGAACATTTCGAACTGACGAATTTCCCGCGCGACAACTTTGACGAGTTTCGCGCCGAGGAGGAGACCCAAAAGATGTTTCGTCTACGTGCGAAATTGCTGTCTGAAAAAAAAAAGATTGGACTCGATGAAACTTATCAGCTATGAAAATTAATTTGGGTGGATTATTGGAAAAAGAGGCTGCGGTTTAATTACAATTATTAGTACTGTGCGTTCTCGAGTGAAAAAATTAAGTTTGCACACGTCGACGCGCGAGCCGAACTTTCGCGCGATTGCTAAATCGCGTAGTGCATTAAATTGGCAGCCGTCGGCGAAGGTGAAACGGAATGTCGAATAATCGATTCGCATCGCGCGTTACCTGCAGGCTTGCAAATTAGTGGCGGAAATAGGGTATCACGAACGACGCGTAATTCGATTCACCGCTCAAATTTCGCTTTCGGGGCCGCGCTCGCACGCGCTATCGTTCTCGCCGTCACAGAATTCACGTTTAGTGCAACGTAAATCGTTGCTCGAATTACGAAGGAATGCATGATGGCGAATTTCTTCATCAGGAATCCGACTACGACGACGTGGGTCCGCCGACCTCTCGCCTCGAGGCCGAGGGGGCCGTCGCCGGGGCAGAGGACTGCGAGGAGATCTACGACGACGTGATGCCGCCCAGCTTCAAGCCGGAGAACCCGAGGGTCGTCGACGAGAGCGACTACCTGATCCCGGGGGCCAGCGACGAGACGTCGCGCGAGGAGCCGGGCGTGGAGCTGCGAGCGACGTCCAGGGCGGGGACGTCGCCGCCGCGTTTCGCACCGACGACGAGCGACGATCAGTATTTCCCGGCGGCGAACAATGAATATTCCAGCGTGGACTGCGAAAGTCATCTGAGCGAGGAGGAGCGGGACGAACTGGGTGTGTATGACGACGTCGGCCTGCCGCCCGGCGAGGAACGTGTCAATAGCCTCTACGCCGGCTCCGCACCCGGCTCCGTCTTAGGATTGACCTCGATGAACGGCAAGGAATCCGAGTGGGAGGACCTGGAAGAGGCCTCGTGTGCCTCGCGCTGCCCTTGTCGGACCAATGATCCGTGGTAAGCGTGGGAATGCGAGAATAATGGGAAAGCTCTTCGGGGGGTTCGTAAAGAGCGGGACAAAGTCGCGGACGGAATAGACTTTTGCTCAGTATTCTGGGGGTCAGTTCTGTATCGCACACTATAGCGAAAGTCTTTTTAAAGGGACGGTCAGAAAGAGACAGAGCTATTCACTTTTAGCATCTTCACTATAGTGTAAGATACAGAATTGACCCCCTGAACCCTCCTTTATCAATAAAAGCGCCTCTAAGAAGTCTTCTGATTGGCCGCGAGTCATTTTTAGTGGCGCTTTTATCGATAAAAGAAGATTCAGAATACGGGCCTTGGGTCTTTCGCGGAGGAAAGGGCCGAGGATACTACGGCGTTTCATCTCGAAAGCCATGCCGGGGACACCGCGGAGCGCGACGTTCGTGTTTATAGCGTGAGTATTGCATGCGGACGAGCGAGGTCTTTAAAAAAATAACAGGCTGTCCGGCTTTTCCTGTCTGAGCAACGCGGCAGGCAGGTATACCTGGTCGCGAAAGGAATTCGCGCTCGGCGTGGCACGCGCGCGCGATAAGACTCGCCTCGAAGGTGCGAGCATTTTTCTCCGCGGCTTCGTTAAGACGATAACGGGGCGGAATTGAAAACAGCGCGGCTAATTACCTTCACCTCGACCGGGGACGATTAATCATTATTAGAGCCGCGCGGCCCGTTAATGTACACTCGCGGCGAATCGTTCGCCGCAAGTGTTTCGAAAACACAATACGGGGAACGTCGTTGCGATAGAGCGGCGATAGCGCGATTAAAAACAACGTCATGTTAAATATCGTTATCGCCGCATTCCGCACGGGGATGAACAAGCGTTTAACATACGTCGCTGTCGTATACGCAGATAATTATAGCGCTGACAAAGACATGATAAGAGCTCGATACTATTAAGCGCCGTAAAGGCCTGTGTCCACGGCGCTGGAACTTGGTAATGGAACGTGTAGCCAATCAACTTGCGCCTTTTGCGGAATAGCTGCACGTTGATTGGCCACACATTTCTCGAGACTAGAACTTGGACCAAGTTCTAGCAGGACACAGGCCTTAAGGGTCTATCCAGGCAAACTTGCACAGGTGTATAAGCACATGCATGAAGAAATTCTTCTTCTTCTTCTTCCTCTTAAATTAGGGTTGAAGCCTATTCTTCCGATTAATTCGTCTCTTTGAGGGTCTTCCTGGGGGTCTTCTGGATGTTGGTTTCCCATCTCTTCCTCCATTCTGGATACGTGATCGTTCCATTCACGTCTTCTCTGTCATAAAGAAATTGATTTGGTCTATTTCCTTATGCGTGCATTTATGACCCAATCAGATTTTTTATGCACACGTTTACGCGCCATGCACGTTTATCTGGATAGACCCTCAAGATTCGATTGCAATAGAACGCACGTGGACCTGAAATTTCAGCGTTCGGGGAACCGAGGGGCAAGTCGCGGCGAGCAAGAAGAAGCTCGCTCAACGATGGTCGCGGAACGCCAGGAGGCAACGGTCCAGGCGATCTCGCAGGGGCATCAAAGCGACACGGATGACCCACGATACCGCCATCGACGGTGAGTACCGGCGAGGGAGATTTTACTGTCGGGTAAACGGCGCGTGCCGTAACGTAATGCCACTAAGAATACACTGTCTTCTCCTTGAACGCATCCCGCTACAACTGACGTTCCGCAAATTGCGTGTACGTATCGCAAGTGCGTGACTCGCGCGTGAGATTTTCGCGTGCGAGAGTTGTTCTCCCGCGGAGGGAAATGACGCGACGGCACTGTGCGCTTATTTAAAATTGCGCAGCGCGCGCGTGCATGAATTAAGGCCCGGCCGGCTGTTGCAAGGATGTCGCGTGACGCTCGCGGGAAAATGAGACGAGCGATTTTACTTTATCTCGTCTTGCATAACGCACCGAATTTCTGCTCGTGCGCCACACCCGGGAAAAAAAGGATTTATTTAACGGGAATAAAGACTCAGATTTATTTAAGCTAAATGAACGAAAATGAAATAAAATCGACAGACTCCAATGCTAAATCGAAGAAAGAACAAAGGAACAGGCAACAGAAGCAAACATGAGAAGTTACGTGTGAAAGGTATATAACTTAACACATCAAATGAAAATATCTATTCAGACGTCGCACATATTAATAAATTTAAATAAACGAGAAACGTTGAAATCATGTTTCTTTGAATCTACTAAATTTTTATTTACTTCTACTGAAACATTTGTTCGATTTGGAGGAATAGACATGAATTCCCTCGGAGATTCCAGTCTCGATTAAATAAAACTTTGGTTAAGGTATAGAAAAAGAAAGTTTAGCAAGGTCGAAATTCAAAGAAAATTTGCTTGATTTCAAAGAAACCTTTCTCGGAGTGCGCGCAGCATCGCATTCCACTTGCCTGCTGAGATTTCAGCTGAATTACGTTTATACTTTCGACGAGCTTGCTTATCTGTAGTGTCACTTGCAAGGCAACGTCTGCCAACGGTCTGATGGCAGACGGCAAAAATAGACGCGCCGTTATGACAGTGTTGTATAGCTATTGTCGACAGTGCCGACATTTATAAGCGTATTACACAGGCGCTCGCATCACGGAACTATCCCGGTGACTCTTCAGTGCCGGGTGTTGCGTTCTGCATTTCGACAATTCGTCGAATTACTTTCGACACCGCCCGATGACGAGGTCTTCCTCAACGACGCGTCAAACGCGTGACGGGACTTGTCCAGGCTCTTTGCCATTCGTAGCGTGTATTTGTGTCAGCGGAAAAATAGAAAACGAAAGACCGCGTCCGTAAAAATTCGCATTCGTGCAACACTTGAATAAAAGACGAACCGCTGTTATCGAGATCTCTTTATCGCGATAAACAAGAGGTACATTAATGACACGCTACCGAGAAACTGTTGCCACCGTTATCAAGATCTGATTATTAGAGATGAGTGAGAGGCCTATTAGCAAATTTAACGCTGCAATTAAAAGTTGAAACCGCGTCATTGAAAGTGTACGAAAAGTGTACCGACGAATTGATTCTATACATCCGGAAATAATCCCTGATCCGAAATTTCCCCCGATACTTTCCGACGTGCTGCTTTCGCGGGATAGTTGAAATTGGAATTCAACGTGTAAATCATCATCATCGATACAAGTTACTCTCTTGAAGTAGGACAATAGTCAAAAGCCTCTCCCGTTCAAAGTCCTATTATCGGTTACGTGCGAAAGGTAGTACATTCGCGCATTGATGTTACTGATCTGTTAACCAGAGTTCAGTCGACTCCCTATCTTTTTCCATCCTATTGTCTAAGAAGAGACAGAATCAATTAACCTTTGATTAACAGTTCAATAACAATCAATTAACCGACGTTTGTGAAACTGACCCTAATAGTCAATCAGTGGATTATCACTGAAAACCGTGAATAGTCACTAATTCAAAGTTATAAATCTATCACTGAAAATCTCAGTGGTATAGGGTAACAAATTCGGATCAGATACCAAATGCGGATCAATAATTTGATGAGTCGCTAATGAGCGACATAGAAACACGTCGATGCCTTTTATGACATCGACAATATAGCATAAAGTTGTATAAAAGAGTAAAATTTAAATGAATTACTTTAAAATGTCGCTTATTAGCGACTCATCAAATTTTTCATCCGCATCTGGTATCTGATCCGAACTTTGTCATCTTACCCTACTTACACCTGTGAATTAGTGAGTATCCACTGCTTTCGGTGATAATTCACTGAATGACTTTTAGAGAGCGAGAATATGTGCGTTGAAATCATGTTTCTTTGAATCCACAAAATTGTGATTTACTTCTACTAAAACATTCGCTAAAAGAAATAGATCTCTTATCAAGAAATAGATATGAATTCTTTTAGAGATTCCAGTCTTAATGAAATAATATTTTGGTTAAGGTACAAAAATCATTTCTTTGAAATTAAAAGTCTAGCAAGGTCAAATTCGAAGAAAATTTGCTTCATCTCGAAGAAACGTTCTTCTGGGCGTAAGAAAGTTCGGACGATGATTTTCCAATATCGCAAGTTGATCGGCGAGCGTTCGCCGCGTGTTCGGGATTTCCAAGCCAGGCGGTACCAACCCGGGAATTGATATGCCAGAAACGACTCTGCTCCGAAACGAGTATTGCGACGGTGCGCCGAGAATTATAGTACATATAACGAGATAAGGTGTACGTATCTCAACAGTGTCACGGCCGTAGACCAGGCTCTACGACTTTGTGCAACGAGGCAAGTGAGCGAGAGGCGCGGTAATCCGTAATCGTGTTCGTTCGCGAAGGACGGTGGGCGGTGTAATTGACTCGACGTGTACGCCGCCCGGTGCCGCCTTTAATGTAATTGAAACACAAGGCCGCGCGAGGTCGAGGTACCACGACAAAGCACCTATTCTACATTAATTCCGAGTTCCGCTGCACATCGCCGCGTGATCGGAATACGCATGCACGACGATTGCGCACGAGGAAAGCGAGCCAAGCCGCATGAACCACCGTAAATCACCCAACAATATCGAGCTGCGTTCGTTCTGCCGAGTAAACTGGAAGATATTGGAGGAAAATTCTATCCATCGCAAAGTCAGGATCGCTAGAACAATTGCGTGGGTCATTTGCAGGGTTGGGAGGTAGCTCGTTACTTGTAACGAAGTTACAATAACTTATTAGGTGTATTTACTGTGAAAAAAATTGTTAAAGATAAGCATAGTTTTTGGGCCGTTAAAGTGGAATGACCCCTTAAATAGAAAGTTGCGACCTTTCTGTGAATGAGCTCCAGATGAATTTACTTTTCATAGATCTTTGAACGAACGCATCCGCGTGAAAAATGATTAAATTAACCACTGCGATTAAGTATCCGCGAATTAAGGTACGATTAAGGTACGATTGTTGTCGTATCTTGCTTATTCGCCTGACCTAGCGCCATCGGGCTTCCACTTATTCCCACGGTTCAAGAAATTCCTTGCTGGGAAGAGATTTTCGTCGGATAAAGAAATGAAGGAGGCAGTTGAGGGATATTTTGCGTCTCTTGACAAATCGGAATGGGATTATGACGTTGGAGCATAGGTCGCTCAAGTTGATATAGAGGGAGATTATAAAAATATATAAACTGTCCTTCTATCTCATTTCGAGGACTTTTTAAATGGCCCTCGTACATATGGATAATACTTTGGCGGTAGAAGTAAATACAATAATCTATAGAAATAAGTTATTTCTTTAATTCTTATATCAGTAAACCCAACAAAAGTTTCCGGATCCAATGCTATTACACTTGAATGTATCATAAAATAGGGTCGATATAGCGCCAATCATATTTATTATAGAGAGAAGGGTATTTTAATCTTAAACGAAAAATTCTAAAATCTAGAATAAAATGATTGTTTCGTCTTTTGTCTAATATCGTGGTGCCAACTTCGTGCGTTGTAAAATGGAGGGAGAATTTATTCTAAACGCAAGAATATATAAAGTTACTCTTGTCTAAATATAGCAAGTCAATCTTTTTTAATTCGATGGAGGAAAATAAGAATTATTGATTTTATTTTGATACTGTCTTATTTTTATATTAAATGAGGTTGTGAGAAATATAAATGCGCCAAGAATATTTTTGTCTCAGTAACAGAAATCCATTCTGAGGATGTACTTCCGTAAGTGATTAACATTTTTTTAAATTTCTACATTCAACACCACATCTCTATTCTATAAAAATAGCTGAGAAAAATAGCTACAAAGTTAAATGGTAGACAATAAAAAATTAAATGAGATCGACATTGATTCTGCTGTATTCTATTACTCGTTTATATTTTTCTACTTTTTCTATCTTTATTTGCTTTAATAATCGTCAATTATCGAGATGGGCACTTTTGTTAACGGTAAGATGTTGAGAGAATTTTGTTTATTTCGCATTTTACATTTGAAAGAACTAGAAGGGAGTGCGACAACTTGTGCGGTAATATCTGGTTTCAAAGTTCCATGATTCAAGTTTACACGATAGTTGCTTATCGCAGTTTCTCTCACTTTTCTTATCTCCTGCATTTTCTCTCTTTCATAGAACTATTTTCAGAATCTTTAAAACATAACTTTAATTATTTTAAACTAATAATATTAAACTATTATATTAATAATATTAAAGTTTAATAATATTAAACAATTAAAAACTGATCTTGTTATCATAATAGGTATTTATAGGCCACCTGCCTATTGCATTGTGTCGAAAACAATACATATATAACTCATACAGATAACTTGACAAGAATTGCTCAGAGGATAATTATTACGTAAAAATGCATGGAATACCAAATGAATTTTCACCGCTCCGAACTTCTTCTAACTCACGCCTCGCGCTAATTACGTTAATTAATTCGCGAACGCCGTTTTCATGCTAATACGATCGGTCATCCGGAAAGCGTCGGTATCCTAATAATAGCGCGTTGTGTAACTTATCAGATAAGAATTGCGACTTAATTGAATCCAGCTCTAAGATAAAATGACGAGCGGATTTTATGAATAAAAACACCGCGTCGAAGGCGTCAATTGAATTTCGCGGTGGATGACGGCACGGCTCGCACGACG